AGTAAATTAACTTAAAATCCAATGGAAAGATTGAAATTTTCACTTTGAATTAATTAGTCTGCATTTTGTTAAAAAATTTTGGTGGGTTTTTCAGGTACTTGTTGGCAATTGGAATTGTAACGACTCTGTATACATTAGCACAAGTGTGCAGACATATTTATGAAATTTCAACGGGGAAAACAACGTTCGAACATGGACATTTGCCATACTGGACTTAATCGGAGATCAGGTTGGTTTTTTGGCTTTTTCATTTGGTATTATTATATGGTTAAATACCCTTTTTGGTCCCTTTACTATAGGAAAAAGCTGCTTTTTGGTCTTTGTACCGAAAAAATCCCCTTTTTGATCCCTAAAGTTTAAAATCCGGTCCCTTTTTAGTCCCTCCATTAAAATTTTGCTGACCTGTCACGTTAATTAACGAAAACATCTCACATGGCAATTTCAAAGTGTGATATGGCAATTTCAGAGTGTGACATGGCTATTCCATAGTGTTAAAATGCTTACGTGTGAAAAAAAAAAAAAAAGAACATGGAATTTGACCTGTGTGGAAAAGATTGACGAAATTATTTCATTTTTTTTATTTAAACAATATTATAAATGACATGAAAATCGTGGACAATTATAAATGATGTGGACAAAATTATAAATATATTATAAGCACTTTATTCGAATATTTTGTGTCACTTATATAAATTAAAATTTTTATTTTATTAATTTATGAATTAAACATAATTAATTTTAATTTTTTCATCATCTTCTTCCTCTTTTCTTTCTCCATCCTTACCCTCCTCTTCTTCTTCGGAATCATCTTCATCATCTTCATCATCTTGGGTTCCTCGTGGAACCTAGTGCTGGGTTCAAGGAACCTAGATTTGGGTTCCTCATGAAACCCAGCACTAGGTTCGTGAGGACACCAGAGCTCCTCGTGGAACCCATCTGGGTTCCTCTCAAAACTCAGCATTGGGTTCCGTGGGAGAACCCAGCACTGGGTTCCGCAGGGGATGCAATGAACCCGATATGGGTTCCACCGGGTCACGCGAGCCCAGAGTTGGGTTTTGATTTTTTTTTCTTTTTTATTTGGTTAAATACCCTTTTTGGTCCCTCTACTATAGGAAAAAGCTCTTTTTTAGTCCCTGTACCAAAAAAATCCCCTTTTTAGTCCCTAAATTTCAAAATCCAGCCCCTTTTTGGTCCTTCCGTCAATTAAGTGACAGAGTGGCACTATAATCTGTTAAATATTTTGTCTTTTTCCTTTTTATTGTTAATGTGTTATTACACGTTAATGAATAAAATGCCACGTGAAAAAAAAATTGATGATGTGGACAAAAAAAGTTTATATGAATAGGTTGGACAAAAAAATTTTGCCCTCGTCTTCATCATCCTAACTTCCTTGGGAAACCCAGAAACTGGGTTCCTCTAGGTTCCGCGCGGAACCCAGCTGGGTTCCCAGTGGAATCCACGATTTTTTTTTCTGTTTTTGTAGTCGAATTTCGGCGTGGTTTTAACTTCTATGTTTCATTGATTTCCATCAGCATTTTTTCGAATTTTTTCGGTTGTGTACGTTTTGTTTCGATTTTCAGTTAAAACGTTTCGTCGATTGTGTATGGGTATTCTTTGATCTTCTCCGGTTTTTTTCGTTTTTGTATCGATTTCTACTGCGATTTTGGCTGATCTGGTGTTTCGATTGCAGGATCCAACGTGAAAGGAAGTAAATCGAAGTCAGACACCAAGAGTTCCAAGTAAGTTTCCTGCGTTTGACCTTTGTTTTTTCTTTATTTCTTCGTTGTTTCTGCTGCTTCGGGATCAAAAAACCAGCAGATGGCGGTTTCTGGATCTCAGATCTGTTACTGTAGTTTTTTAGATTCTCTGGTTTATTGTTTGTGTGATGTGGTTCCGCCTTTTGGTCATAGGCTTTCCGTCAATAAGAAAGCAGCCGTCACATAAGCTGGGAAGAAACCGGGGAAGGCGGCCAAGGATCCAAACAAACCAAAGAGGCGTGCCAGTGCCTTCTTCGTATTCATGTAATTATTATCACCGCCTCTATAAATATCTCGTTACTAATGAAAAATCCTCTTTCCGTCAAATATCTTTGGCATTAACATTCAAACAAACCGTTGAAGAAGTGAACATAACAATTTTTAAAAAATCGTGGATTCCACGGGGAACCCAGATTCGGGCTCCTCGTGGATTCCACGGGGAACCCAGATCCAAGCTCCTCATGGATTCCCCATGGAACCTAGAGGAACCCAGTTTCTGGGTTTCCCAAGGAAGTTAGGATGATGAAGACGATGGTAAAGAACGGTGAAGATGATGCCGAGGATGAGGAGGAGGATAAGGTGAGGAGAAAGAAAAGGATGAAAGATGTTACAGTTAATTATTTGTAGGGAGAAGAAAAGAGTAGAAATGGGAAATGAAAAGACAAAAAGAAAATGATGATTTTTAAAAAAAAATTATATTACAACCTATTCATATAAAATTTTTTTGTTCACATCCTCAATTTTTTTTTTCACGTGGCATTTTATTCATTAACGTGTAATAACACGTCAACAATAAAAAGGAAAAAGACAAAATATTTAACAGATTATAGTGTCACTCTGTCACTTAACTGACGGAATGACTAAAAAGGGGTCGGATTTTGAAATTTAGGGATTAAAAAGGGGATTTTTTCGGTACAGGGACTAAAAAAGGACTTTTTCCTATAGTAGAGGGACCAAAAAGGGTATTTAACCTTTTTATTTTAAGTGTATCTATCCAAAATGAAAATAAATTTTCATATTCAGTTTTGAATTAGAGATGTTAAGTTCGGGTTCATTGCAAAACCATATCATGTTTGATGTTTGAGTTTGAAATTGCAAGTGATAAGTTTGGGTTCATTGCAAAACCCACATCGGGTTCATTGCATCCCCCGCGGAACCCAGTGCTGGGTTTCATGAGGAACCCAGATCTGGGTTTCATGAGGAACCCAGATCTGGGTTCCTTGAACCAAGCACTGGGTTCCTTTGGGTTCCTCGTGCTGGATTCCTTGTGAACCCAGCATTGGGTTCCACGAGGAACCCGAGATGATGAAGATGATTCCGAAGAAAAAGATGAGGGTAGGGATGAGGAGAAAGAAGAAGAGGAAGAAGATGAAAAAATTAAAATTAATTATGTTTAATTCATAAATTAATAAAATAAAATTTTTAATTTGTATAAGTAACACAAAATATTCAGATAAAGTGCTTATATATATTTATAATTTTATCCACGTCATTTATAATTATCAACATAATTTGCATATTATTTATAATATTGTTTAAATAAAAAATAATGAAATAATTTCGTCAATCTTTTTCACACAGGTCAAATTTCATGTTCTTTTTTTTTTTCACACGTAAGCATTTTAACACTGTGGAATAGTCATGTCACACTCTGAAATTGCCATATCACACTCTGAAATTGCCATGTGAGATGTTTTCTTTCATAAACGTGACAGGTCAGCAAAATTTTAACGGAGGGACTAAAAAGGGCCGGATTTTAAAATTTAAGGATCAAAAAGAGGATTTTTTCGATATAAGGACCCAAAAGGGTTTTTTCCTATAGTAGAGGAACCAAAAAAGGTATTTAACCTTAATGTTTTTACCCATGTTTCTTATCTTGCAAGAGTTTAAAGTAAACAAACTAACGAATTGGATAAGATGCATAATGTAGTTTATTATTTCAAGTTATTG